AAATTAGAGCCTACCTTCAAATAGTATCCAGAAATGTGGTTTCTATACTAAAAATCTTTGTGACAGCCTTAAAATATATTTTAATTTTAATCTATAAAGTTTAAAGGCTTTAAAAATAATGTAGATCGACAAATTTATGAAAGCTTAAAAATCTTGAAAATTGACGGTCCAAAAAGCGTTACAAAATACACTATTTTTAAAACCTGAAATCTATTTGCTCTCATGTCCATGCATCTTGATGTCGAGATGATCAAATTGAATATATTTGAGTATCAAAATAACATCATCTAGTGAAATTTTTGAGGTAGGCTCTAATTTCATTGTTTCGAGCCTCGGTTATCTTTTTTCTCTAATTATAAAATTTTAAAGTCCAAAAATAGTTAAAATCAAGTAGCTTTATAAATATATGAAAATCTTGAAAATGGACGGTCTAGATATTATGTTGTAAGATGCATTATTTTCAGGACTCAATTTTTATTTTTTTTCAATGCTTGTACATCTCGAGATGATCAATTAGACAATCTTTCAACATTAAAACAACCTTTTTTGATGGAGTTTTCAGTTGCGTCTTTAATTCTACAAGGTTGCAACCTTATATAAATTTTTTCCTATAAAATAATATAAAATAATTTAATAACTGGATTGGATCTGGATCAGATCCACCTATACCCAGATTAGATTTGAATTACCATTCAGATCTAAACTTTAGATTTGGATCCAAACTATCGGATACAAAAAAGATCTAGATAAGATATAAAATTTGAGTTTCGGTTCCAAACGGGGTAAATTCTTCCCTATGCGTAGCATTGTACGTTGTAACTCGTAAAGAGATAAAAATGTTCTTAAAACCTGTCTTTTTATACTCATGTAGGAGTATACTATGCATTTAATTGCAAAATTAACTCTAGGGATATCTTTTTTATTTCAAATTTTGGGGATGTGATCTTTAGAATCCGATACATGAACTCAAAGACATTCTTTTTCTTTTAACTCTCACTTTCTATGTACCTAAAAAAAAAAAAAAATCACCCCGAGATTCGTAAAGGAATAAAATGCCATTGTTAAAACCTATCTTTTTCTACTCTCATGGGAGTATACTATTTATTTACTCCCTCAATCAAAACTTGCTTTAGGGATATTCTTTTGATCTCAAATTTTGGGAAAGTGACCTTTATAATCCGACGAATGACCTCAAAAAGAAAAAACTTTTTAACTCTCACTCTCTAAGTGCCTAAAAAAACTCATCATGAGAAAGTAAATGTATAGTATGCTCCTAAGGGAGATACCGTGGGTTGGAAATTGAGCCTGTTAAGGTCAAGGCCATACAAGAAATGCCACCACCCAGAAATTTTTGATAGCACAGGTCGCTCCAAGGAAAACTTGCATATATTCGAAGATTCATCTCCAATATTTCAGGACAGCATAAGCCTTTTACCCGTTTGTTAAAGGATACGCCTTTTGAATGATACGATGTTAGTCCCAATAAAAATAATAACATATAAATAAAATTAAAATCGATAAACAACTTACTCGGATCTATTCTTAAATCACACGAGAGACCTAAGGTTCTATACTAAATCTTATAGGGCAAGCCATCCGGTGAGATGCTACCTTGAGGGTCCTCTTGGTGAATCTCTTTCGCCTCGTTTCTATCAGTCTCTCTCTTTTCTAAAGGGATTAACCTCCTTTTATAAAGAACACTTTAATTTAGTAACTCTTACATTCATGGTCTATAGGGGTTGAGATCTAAATGTAACTCCTACCTTAATTCCCTTAAATGCAGTTAATTAGGATTAACAAGCTGTCACCAAACTGTTAATCTTATAAAGTGAGCTAAACCTGTCATTAGTCCACTAATGACTCATACAATAGGATGTCATCCAAACATTCCCATAATTTACAAGGAATTCAAACACACTGGGTTTTCCCTCCAGTGATACTGGGTTTTTCTGTCGAGTGATACATCCTATTAACGCAAAAAAATGGATCCATGTACATGACATTGCCTCATGTTAACCATATGGGATTTCACATATACTCCAATATGACTTTTATACCATTATTGAAAAAATGAATTTTCAGGAGAATAAAAAAAACCTGACAGGCGACATTTCCAAGTTCCAATAATATTAGAGCTTATCTTTTGAAAACCCCCAATCTTATCTGCTCCTAATTCTTGGGAAACCTCTCGTTCTATATGTGATGATTTTTGAGGAGTCGCTCGGTACTTTACTCACTCAAAAGAGTGAGGAGGAAAAAGAAACAGCCCAGTATTATCTTAGTGGAAGAATACAAGGTGCTTAGGAGAATTATTTCCCTATCGAGAAGATGTATTTGCCACAAAAAAACGGCGAAAGCACAAACATTACCCGACTTCTTGGCTGCGCGCCCTCACGAAGATTAATAGCCTCTTTTGTCGACAACCCCTTATATGAATAATGGTTTGGGAAAATCATTTAATTAATCCTTATGCGATTTGCTAATAAGTATTAGCCAATCAGTTGCTCATGAGGGTGTCAAATTTAGTAATGAGTGGTGGGCTCTTGTACGGGAGCTTTTAAAGTACACACAAAGGTCAGAGACAGAGAGATGCTACGTCGCCAATGCAAGAGTTGTCATTTTATCAAGCATAACACTAAGAAAATATTCAATAAAAATTAGATTAACATAACAAATCCTGTTATCCTTTTCTTTCTCTGTTAATCTCCCTGAGTCAATAAAAACTAGATTAACATAACAATTCCTTTTATCCTTTTCTTTCTCTGTTAATCTCCTAAAAAAGAGTCTCAATACATATTCTTCTCAGAACCTGGCTTTGAGGTGTAGAAGAAAGGTCCCACTGTAAACAATTTCATCTTCGTCTTCCCTGCTATGGTGCGAGCACTGCGAAAGAGTGCACCGGTCAATCCCATGTTCTCATTTGACGGGTTATCACAGTGGTTTAGAGGAGAAGACTTGAGGAAGGCCTTGCATTCCTTAAAACCGAGCCCTTTCATTTCTGAGAGCTTCATGGTTGCCAAGAAGTAGCCATTCTTATCAGTTTTGCAGCTTCGCACTGAGAATGGAGCCCTCTCGAGCCTGGTGGGGTCCGTGGCCACGCATGAGACCCTCACCATCACACCTACGAAACACAGAAAGGAAATGGGTGTGGTTAATTGTGCGTGCTATGAGCCAAGGCATCTCACACACATGTGATCTATACTTAAAGATGTTTATGTTAAGAGTAAATCATGGTTTAATTTCATTTTTTTAAAATTCCTTTTATGGTAATTTCCCATATTTATCTGTGAGAGATCAAAATTTTAACACTTTACCTATATCTTTTTATGTTATTTCCAAATACCCCTAGAAATACAGTCTTGTGATGGAACAATTGCAAATGGGCGAAATATGATTACTTTATCTCTAATAGCTATTTTGATAAATGTCCCTTCTTTTTATTTGGTAGTAAACACCGGGTTCTCATCCTCGTTTGGTAATGCCTCATAAAAAAAAAAAAGAAATAAATGAAATGATGCAATTTTTTCATAGAAAAGAAAAAACTTTTTTTCAAAATCAATGTTTGTGAAAGAGGTATGTAATCGTGAGGATCGTCAGAATTTCATTTGTGAAGTTGTGGTTTATTATCCTAACGATCATGAGAATTTCATCTAGTAAGTTCCGATCTACAATCCCTAAAGGAGGTCTTAGTCACCTCTAGCTATAAAGTGTCAAATTGGATGGCTTGAATTGTTTAACGAAATTTTGATAATTTTTTTCTTTTTTTTTCAACTTTTAGTCTTGTCAATAACACGTATACAACTAATGGAAAAGAGTGATTGTGACTTCCTAAGTAAATGAACTCTTTCTATACTTTAGACTCGAGAAAGTTAAATCCAAGAAAAACACCTGAAAGAGGAGTGAGGCCAGAGGTCGATCTACAATAGACTATCCCTTGGACTCCAATGGAGTCAATTCCACCTTTTGACATGTCCCCATAGGGCTTCTCGCTCTCCTTTGGTGGTGGTGGTGGGCTGAGCGTAATGGCGGGATCGTCACTGTAAGTTTGCGTGCTTTTCCGGGAAAATGGTGGCACTACATGGGCCATTTGTGCATAACGTGGTGGCACGGGTTCATGGGCCATTTTTGTATAAGGTGGTGGCGCGGGTTCATGGACCTCTTTTGCATAAACTGGCGTGGGTTCATGGGCCATTTGTGCACAAACTGGCCCGGGTTTATGGGTCAGGTTTGTGCAATCTTCTGGACTGGGTTCATGGGCCATTTTTACATAATCTGGTGGAATGGGTTCACTGGCCAGTGTTTTGTAATCTGGGGGATTGGGTTCCTCATGGGCCAGTGTCGTGTAATCTGCTGGACTGGGTTCATTGGCCATTTTTGCATAATCTGGTGGATTGGGTTCCTCGTGGGCCAGTGTTGTGTAATCTGGTGGATTGGGTTCCTCATGGGCCAGTTTTGTGTAATCTACTGGACTGGGTTCCTCATGGGCCAGTTTTGTGTAATCTGCTGGACTGGGTTCAAGGGCCATTCTTGCATAATCTGGTGGAATGGGTTCACTGGCCAGTGTTTTGTAATCTGGGGGATTGGGTTCCTCATGGGCCAGTGTCGTGTAATCTGGTGGACTGGGTTCAATGGCCATTTTCGCATAATCTGGATTGGGTTCCTCGTGGGCCAGTGTTGTGTAATCTGGTGGATTTTGTTCCTCATGGGCCAGTTTTGTGTAATCTGCTGGACTGGGTTCCTCATGGGCCAGTTTTGTGTAATCTGCTGGACTGGGTTCAAGGGCCATTAGTGCATAATCTGGTGGAATGGGTTCACTGGCCAGTGTTTTGTAATCTGGGGAGTTGGGTTCCTCATGGGCCAGTGTTGTGTAATCTGCTGGACTGGGATCATTGGCCATTTTTGCATAATCTGGTGGATTGGGTTCCTCATGGGCCAGTGTCATGTAATCTGGTGGACTGGGTTCATTGGCCATTTTCGCATAATCTGGTGGATTGGGTTCCTCGTGGGCCAGTGTTGTGTAATCTGGTGGATTGGGTTCCTCATGGCCCATTGTTTTTCTTCTCTCGTTGCCATATCCAAGTGCTTCAGCAGCTGCACCAGTAGACACCAGGAGAACCAAGAGAGAGAAACGCAATCCTGATGCCAATGCCATTCCCTAGAGAGAGAGAGAGAGAGAGAGAGAG